AACGCCGAGCGCTCGATCACCACCGGGAGCAGCTCGATCGTGTTCATGCTCGGTTGCCACGTCACGACCACCGTGTCGACGGCTTCGGCGACCACGGTCTGCACGTTGCTGTCTTGAAGGGACGGTCGCGACCACACCGAGACCACTTGGTACGTGCTCGCGCCGGCAAACCCCGTAATGGCTTGCACCTCAATCTCGACCGGTGGACTCTGCAATAGCGCCGTCTCCGGCCCAGACACCGACAGATCCCACACAATGTAGTACGTCAGATCGTACGCACACCCAAAGCTCGTCGATTTCGGTATGGCCACGACACCGTTGGCTCGGACCGCTTGCACACCGTCGCACGCGTCGGTCGGCATGCGCAGCAGCAGCTTGAAGTCGTCGTCGTCTCGGTCAAACCAATACGACACTTGCGCCGACACGTGGAGATGCGCACGGTCGCCGGCAACAATGGACGAGTTGGCCGTAACGAGGAGGGGCAACTCGGCCGTCGGCCACACCTGCACCTCGTACTGTACGCCGTAGACGACCGGCGGTGCACCAAACTCGGGACTGCCATAGTACCCGCGCAAGACGAACGACAACAGGCCATGAAAGTGGGTCACCGGCACCACACCGGCGCGCACGTCATCAGCAAAGTCCGTAAACACGAACGACCCACGGCTCTCGTTGAGCGACAGCTCCGTGATGCCGTTACCACGGCTCACTGTGAACACGGACGCAGTAGCCCGCGCATCTGCCGCCAGAATCTCAAAGCCCAGGTTCACATAGTCGTCCATCGACGCGTTGACCTGCGACCGGATGTCGTCCAAGCTAACGTCCACGGCCACGCCGCCAAACACCTCCAGGTGTCGCGTCACCGCCGCCTCGTACATCACGGCCGGGTTGGGCAGCCACACAAACGACACGGGACTCGCAATCTCGGCTCGCGCTGCCCCGTCCGCACTTGTCGCCACGACGTCAAACCACGCCAGACCAAAGAACCCGACCGGCATCGCGATACTCGTCGCAACCACCACCGAGTTGCCAGTCACATTGGCCATGTCACTGATGGCGTAGACGCAGTCGCCCGCCGAGGTCCACGTCAGAGGCACCGGCGCGCCGTTCGCCGTCACATTTGCGTTGCTGTCACACCCGTGCGGACGCAGTTCCATGCGCACTGCCTCGGACGCGTCGCGGCTCGACGCGCTGGCCCAGATCGACGCCGACTTGCCGTACTCGATCGTCGTGTTCATCGGTGCAAGCGACAGTTGCGGCACGGTGGCAACACCGATGATGTCGACCTGGTACGGTTGCCGGTACAGCATCGGTCGATGACCCAAGATCGGACTCTGCAACGACACATCCACGTAAAACTCGATCTCGCCGTTGTAATGCTGGGACGGTACGACGCCAATGACGCCCGACCAGCGCCCATCAAACTGCTTCGTGAAGGCTCCCATCACACTCGTGTTGTCACACGGACCACAGATGCCTTGGATCCACACGCCGTTGGTCACGACCTCGAGCAGCGTCAAAACGTAGTCGGACGGGAGCTGAATCGGACGCGTAATGGCGCTCGTTGCCAAGAACACCATTTCGTCCTCGAACGTCTCCAGGCGGACGGTCGGGAGCAAGATCTGCATCGGCGCCGTGTTCGGAAGCCACTGCAGCGCCGTCATCGTCACCGTTGCCGACGATGCACCGTGGGTCGTCGACGTTGCCGTCATTTCTACGGACGTCCACCCGAAGAAAGCGTCCACGACCGTCACGCTCACTTGCATCGAGCCCGACATCACGCCGCTGGGTCCCGACCAAAGCTCGTACACGCATACGTCCGTCATTGTATCGGTGTCGGCGTTGATCATGACCGGTTGCTTGCCACCACCGGTCGCGACGACGACCGAGGCAACGCCCGAGCAGTTCCATACGCGCATACGCACAGCCAGCGATTCCGACGCGCTGA